CCAGCCTGCTCCAAGGCAAGCTCACTCCCGGGCGTTGGATTCACTCGCCTGCCTTGGCTTTCACTCAAAGCCAACTTTCCATGGGAAAATGAATAATTGCAAAAAATTGCTTACTTTCAAACATACTAAGATTTTCTTTGCAAGAACAACAGCTCACACTGCGGCGTGTTCGTGTGCCAGGCCCCAAGCAGTTCACATGTATTAATACATCTCATCCTCACATGACCCTTGGCGGTAGCTCGGATAGTCAGAGGAGCAGAGCAGAAGGATTTGCCCAAGGTCATGGAGATGGCCAAGAGCAGAGCCCGACTTGAACCCAGCTATGTCAGACGCAAAGACACTTAATGGTCTCTTTCCTGGGAACTGGGGCCTGGCACCCATTTCCCAGGACTTTTTCCTCCTGCTCCCATGCCTTTTCCTTCGAACTCGGGTTTTGCTGGGGTTGAGTTTATGTTTGACTTTTAGTTTTGCCCGAGATCTTTTCTTCTTGGTACTGACAGATGGAGACCAGGGTCCACAGAAATGGGAGAAATGCAAAGAAAATGGGGAGCATTCTCCTAAGGGACAAGACTCAGGGCAGTGTTCATCAAGAGACAGAGAGAAGGTCAGCCATTACACCACGCACACTGTGCAGTCTGATGATGGTGGCACCATGGATTTCTGTCTTTCTGCATACAAATTTATGGCCCCACGGATCATAAACAGTCTGCGTGAGAGGACAGCTCCTGACTACAGAGATATTCTTCTTTTTTTTTTTCTTTAAGGTTGTATTTATTTGACAGAGAGAGAGAGAAAAAGTAGGCAGAATGGCAGGCAGAGGGAGAAGGAGAAGCAGACTCCCCGCTGAGCAGGGAGCCCGATGAAGGGCTCGATCCTAGGATGCTGGGACCATGACCTGAGCTGAAGGCAGACGCTTAACTGACTGAGCCACCCAGGCACCCCCACAGAGATATTCTTAAGGATACGTTGTTTTCTGGGGAAACATACACACACGTGTGCACACATGTGCAATGTCAGATGCCTCAGTTCAAAACACCAAATTTCCCTTCCCATTAAGACCATGGATCAAAGTTGGACAATCCCCAGCAAACAGGGACTAACGCCTTGGCTTCTTATTTGCAAAACACCAAGTATTTTGTCACATAAACTTGGAGAAGATTAAAAAGAAAAAGAATTGATAAACGAGAGAGAATATCTAGAGTGTGGCGAGATGGAAGGAAGGCAAAGTACACATATACAATTACATATATACACCTATGTGTCTAATAATTTCTACTTTTATTTATCTGTTCTATTTAGCATTTTCCAGTATATGATTAAGCAGATGGCAACATTTGCAGTAAGATAAATATTGTTCAATGATGCATATTTCTGTATACAAAGTGTAATGTATTGCTCAAGCAAAATAAAACCCCATTGAGAGTGTGAAAAAAAGAAAATCCAGCCATCAATAAAATACCCTCTGTTCTCTCTGGTCTCTCTGAGAAGCCACAACTCTTGGGCCGTTAGAACCAGAGGTGATCTGGATACAGTGAACTAATTTTTCAAAGTCACTGCCAACGTCTGAAAAAGTCCTGAGTTATCTGAGTAATGTGAAGTATGAGAAACTTCTGCCAAAAAAAATCAACAGTTCCACGGGGTCAGACGATACAGAAACCCCACTCGACGTTAAGGATGCACGCGCATGGAAGGGCGATAAGGAATTTCGCTCCTTGAATGAAACTTACTGGATAGCAAATTATCTAAGGGTGCAAGGAAAAAACGGGACTCCGAGAGGATCACAGGAGGCGAAGGGAAAGAAAATAAACATCCGTTATGTGAACACACACGGCTCTCTTTCATTTGTCCCCAATCCCTCCAGAACCTAGAACGTGATCTTTTTGACACTCTCCCCAGTGTGTTTCCTCCCTTTAGAAGTGAGCCCATCCGTTTCTTGAATTCTGAGATGACAGTCAAAGCCACAGCTTACAGGAGACCCAGTGAAGGACTCGGTGTCTCAGCCACACCTCTGCTCCAAGCCACCCGATAATTCTAATATTTAAGAGCTTTGGAAGAGGCGGAGAGGGAAACAGGAGCTTGCAAATCTTTGATAGATATGCCCCTCTCGTCACTATCCTCATGCTGTCTCTGACTCTGCTTGAGAAACTGCATGTTTCTTCTTGGCTCTTTAAAATGCACCAGAAATACAATCAGGTCCCTCTACTGGGGCGCCACTCCCCAGACAAAAAAGGCAGCAAGTGAAGAGACTCTGGGACGGTGGGCACAAGGAAGCAGCAAGGTCTTGCTTAGAAAACGCTCTGGACACAGTGCCTGCCGGACACTCCTTGGGACACACCCACCAGCACCCCCAGCAGCACCAATGGGGCCACAGACTCGTTTTGCCTGCAAGAATTGCACCTGCCCCACCCCACCCCACCCCAGCCTCAAGAGAGCACAGAGATGAAGCATCATGTCCTAAGCATGTGTCTCACCAGCTCTTTGAGAAAGCCATCTGGAAAATCACAGGGATTTTTTTTTTTTTTTTTTTTACTGTCCCACTTCTGAATCTATCCTCCAAGGCATCGTGCTAGCAGCTCGGGCCCCGACAGCCCACGTGTTGCAAGGGCCTGAGTGGCTTTCGAAAAGGTCTGGTCCTCTCCCAGCCCGGCAGCCCAAGCTCAGGCGTGTTGTCGGACTTTGGGAACAGCCTGCCCCCTTCTGGTCTCCTTGAGCTCCATGGAAGGGCAGGGGCTGGGTGGGCACGGCTAGAGGAGGACAGACCCCCGGATCCCTCCAGCATGTCTGCGCTGTGATTTCAGGATCTAGCAGTGCATGGGGGTAGAAATGGGTCAGGGAAAAGAGGAGACAGACAAGCAGATAAAATAAAATACAAATCCAAGGGACAGAACAGTTCACAACAGCGCGGCAGACACCCTCAGAGAAGGGAGGAGAATCAAAAAATAAAATTAAATTAAATTTAAAAATCTATGTCTATAACCGAAGGTGAAGAAATTGACACCTGGGGAGACCCAGGGCAGGGGACAGTAATTAAGCCCACAGATGAAAGCAGAGTTTCAAAAAGCAGTGCCACTCTGCTGCTGGAACGGGTATGCCAACAGGAATAAAAAAAGGAAACGACACGCTCCCACCTACCTTCCCAACTGCAAACCTCTCTGCGGCTGGGCCGGGAGGCGCAAGAATAGGATACTGAAGTGAGCGCACACAGACGGTACGGATGGAGAACTCAAAACGTCAAGGACCCAGGAAGAAATCCAGGCCTCCTTCCCTCTTGCCATTTATTTCAACAGGTGGTCTTTGCACCCAAGATACACCTCCCGGTGCCTGTCTGATTCCCAGATGCAAAGGGTATAGGAAGCCCCATGCCGCCATCTTCAGCCCACATTTTCCCACTCTGGGCCAGCAGTGCACGTGCTGACCCCCACCCCGGCACTGCACCTCCCAGTAGGGCTCCAAATCCAGAACCAACGTCGAATTGCATTTCTGCCCAAACACATTACAGTTCAGCCCAGGAGTTCAAAGGCAGTGTCTGGGAGTACCCTTCCCTGGAACTACAAGGCCACAGGACATTGGGAATGTTCTGGTTCTCCATCAGGAATCTCCCTCCACTCCCCTCCCCACAAACAAGGGAAAGATGTCCACCTGCTACCCACGCAGACAACCAGCAACGTGAAATGCCATCACGTCACCTCCTGGGGCACAAAGAGCCGCACTCTGGCAAAGAGGGTCACCACTGATTCCAAAGAAGTTTAACAGAACAGAAAGCAGCACGCTGTGTCTGAAGGTAATCTTCAGCGAGGGCTCCCAGAGCGACAAACGACACAGACATGCATTCAGTGCCAAAGGATTCTGAAACTAACCCCTGACATCTGATGTCCCCCAGGGGCTAGGAGAACCCCTGTAGGGAAATGGCATAAGGAAGATAAAGACAGACACACTGCACATTGTTATTCCTGAAGACAGACACGCACACCCACAGGGCACAGAGAGCCAGTCCCAGAGTTAAGGACTCTGACCTCCTGTCCTGTGTGTCCTAGCTCAGTGGGCTCAGCAAGGCAACCCAGAGAAGGTGTAAAAGACATCACTAGAGAAGTTGGGGACAGGATAGGAGGACACCCAGGTGGCCCCGGAAGGTCTATGGAAAAACCAGTTTCAGAGCTCAGACTGTTCACACCCCAGGAAAGCAAAGAAAACCCAGAAAGAGCCGAAGTCGTGATGATGTGGTCAGAGACACAGCTGGTGACATTAATCGGCTACGCACAAGACAGAGAGCCAGAGACAGCCATCTAGGAGAAGGGGCCATGCCCTGACACTGGACAGCTTGGTGAGGAAAGTCAGGGAGGGCACCAGGAGAGGACAAGGTTAGAGACGGAGAAAGTAGAGACAGGAGTCGCAGACAGCCAGACATGGCAGACAGGAGATCTAAAGTAAGACCAGGCGCCCAAGACTGAATCCTGATTCAGGGAGCCGGCTGGGGATTTGGGACACCGATCTTAGACTGTGTCTCAGACCAGGAAAAGACAGCAAGCAGGGCACTGAGTTGTCTGCACTCAGCTCAGCAAAAACCAGAAAGATGCTGTGAGCACCACCCATGAGCAGCGGCTGAGGATCCCGGGCACGATCCAAGCACTCAGACAGTGAGCGAGGCACCAACACCCACATGCCTAGTGCAAGTCGGGGCGCCCAGCAAGACTGACGGGGAACAGGAACCCAGCCAGGCTCCCGTAACCCCCAAAGCGCCTCCTCTGGAGATAACTTCCCCAGACCCCAAGGGGGCAGTCCAAAGACTCGGGATGGGGCAGCCCAAACGGCCCCCCGAGCCTCGCCAGGGACCCCGCCCCGGCTTCCAGGGAAAGAGATGGGGAGCTGGCAGGCTTGGGGAGTCCCAGTCTGATGCCCAGGGTTCAAAGGCTGAGGGGGGAGGCAGCTTGGGGTCGGGGCTGCCTCCTTCTCACCCTCCCTCCCTCCCTCCCTCTGGGACGCGAGCCGAAAGGGCATCTTACCAGCGCCCGCGCGGGCAGTGCCCCCCGGCTGGCCGGCTGCTGCGCCCGGGGTTCTCCGGGGCCGCCTCCCCGCGCCCGCGCCGGGGCCCCCCG